CTACTGGAGGTGCTGAGCCTGGGGGTGCTGAGCCTGGGGGTGCTGAGCCTGAGGGTGCTACGCCTGGAGGTGCTGGGCCTGGGGGTGTGGAGCCTGAGGGAGCTGGGCCTGCTTGTGTGGCGTCTGGCGGTGCTGAGCCTGGAGGTTCTCCGGGTGCTTCGTCTCGGCGGGAGCCACTCTCTCCACAGGAGCTGCGCGAGTGGTTTGCCCGGCGCTGGAGGCGTGCTGCTGGAGCTGGAGGTTCTTCGGCTACTGAGGGTGCTGGTGCCGCGGGTCCCGGAGGTGCTCGTACTGGGAGTACTGGAGCTGCTGGGCCTGCGGGTACGACTGGAGCTGGAGCTGCTGAGGGTGTTGACGCTGAGGCTACTGCTGTCGGTCCTGGAGGCGGGCCTGCTGGGGGTGCTACTGGTGCTGCTGGAGGTACTGGAGCTGGAGTTGCTGCTGGCGCTGGTGCTGCCGCTTGGGGTACTGGTGCTGTCCCTGCTGTGTCTGGAGTCGCCGCGCGGCCTCGGCCGTACTTCGTTCCGCTCCTTCAGCAGGTTCTTGGTCTCCCGCCTTCTACTGGCCCTCCTCCTCCCTTAGAGAGTCCACAGCCTGTCCTGTCACAGTTACAGTTACAGCCGGCCTCCCCACTGCCCGCTCCTTCTCCCTACACTGGTCCTACTGGAGGTCTTGCTGAGCGTCGTGAGCCTGCGTCGCGTCCTGCGTCGCCTGTCCGTACTGCTCGCGCTAGTGGTCGTGGTTCGCGTCAGCGTCCTCCTCCTGTCCCTGGCACGCACCGGATGTCTCTGCGTCCGTCCACTGCTCCTCTGCGTGCCCCTTTGCCTTCTCCTCCTGAGTCCTCTCTTCCTGCTCTTCCCGACCCAGAGTCGGACTCTCTTCGTGCTGCCAGTCCTACTGTCACGCGTCTCCTTGCTACTGTCGTCACTGACCCTTCCTTTGCGTCCACTGCTGCGTCTGCCCTAGTTGCTGAGCTCGTCGACTTTGCTGCTCGCTGTCGTCTAGACTACGCTGCTTGTCTTGTCGCTGAGTCTGAGTCTGTCTGTCCTCCGTCCATCGGGGGTGAGTGTGCCCTTGGCACGGACGTCCTTGAGGACAGGCAGGAGGAGTTCCAGTGTTTGGCTGCTGCTTCACCTCATCTCGTGTCCGTACTGCTTACCCCTGAGGGAGACCCGGATGCACTTGACATCCCGACTCCGCGCTCTTACGCGGAGGCGATAGAGGGTCCCTACTCCTCTCAGTGGCAGGCAGCTATGGACACAGAGATGGCTTCTTGGAAGTCCACAGGTACCTACGTTGACGAGGTTCCCCCGCCTGGGGCGAACATCGTCAGTGGCATGTGGATTTTCAGTGTGAAGCGGCCGCCGGGTTCTCCGCCTGTCTTCAAGGCGCGTTACGTGGCTCGTGGCTTCAGTCAGCGGCAGGGAATTGACTACTTTCAGACCTTCTCTCCCACCCCGAAGATGACCACTCTTCGGGTACTGCTGCACATAGCTGCTCACCGCGACTACGAGCTGCACTCTCTTGACTTCAGCACTGCTTTCTTGCAGGGCAGCCTGCACGAGGAGATCTGGCTGCGTCGCCCACCTGGCTTCACTGGGTCTTTTCCTCCTGGCACCCAGTGGAGCCTCCGGCGGCCAGTCTACGGTCTCCGCCAGGCACCGCGTGAGTGGCACGACACACTGAGGACTACACTTGCGGCTCTTGGGTTTGCTCCCTCTACTGCCGACCCGTCGCTGTTTCTGCGCACCGACACTTCTTTGCCGCCGTTCTACATCCTCGTGTACGTCGACGACTTGGTCTTTGCCACAGCTGACACTGCTGGACTCGCCCACGTGAAGTCCGAGCTGCAGAAGAGACACACGTGCACAGACCTGGGTGAACTGCGCAGCTACCTTGGCTTGCAGATCACCCGGGACAGAGCACGCCGCACCATTACCCTGACTCAGTCACACATGGTGCAGCAGGTCCTTCAGCGCTTCGGCTTCACGTACTCCTCGCCTCAGGCCACTCCTCTGCCTACTCGCCACTCGCTCTCAGCTCTGCCTTCGGATGAGTCCGTAGAGTCGAGTGGCCCGTACCCAGAGCTTGTTGGCTGCCTCATGTACCTGATGACCTGCACACGACCTGACCTCGCATACCCTCTTAGCATTCTCGCACGCTATGTTGCTCCTGGGAGACACAGACCGGAGCACATGGCTGCAGCGAAGAGGGTGTTGCGTTACTTGTGCAGTACGTCGGGCATGGGGCTTGTGCTTGGAGGGCAGAGTCCAGTGGTCCTCACTGGGCACGCAGACGCTTCTTGGGCTGACGACCAGGCTACTCAGCGGTCGTCACAGGGTTACACCTTCAGCCTTGGTTCCGGCTCTGTTTCGTGGCGGGCTACCCGCTCGTCTTCTGTTCTCGGCTCCAGTTGTGAGGCTGAGATCTACGCCGGGGCCATGGCTGCACAGGAGCTTCGCTGGCTCACCTACCTGCTCACTGACCTCGGAGAGCCGCCTCGTTCTCCTCCAGTGCTGTACGTAGACAACAAGGCCATGCTGGCCTTGTGTCGAGAGCAGAGACTGGAGCACAGAACGAAGCACATTGCTCTCCGCTACTTCCTTGCTCGTGAGCTACAGCAGCGTGGTCAGCTGCGGCTTGCGTACGTGGCCTCTCAGGCCAACACTGCTGATATCTTCACCAAGGCACTTGCGCCTTGTGATCATCAGCGCTTCTGTACTCAGCTGGGTCTTGTGCCCACCTTGCCTCACTTGCTCACCCCTTGACCTTGTTTATACTGATGCATATATATATATATATATACTCCTGCTCTTGCTTGTCTAGCCTTATATATATATGTAATCCTGCATGTGAACTGGCCTTGTGGCCTTGAACTTGTGCTCGGAATGTGTGGTGACTTTGTGATCCACCCTGAGCTTGTTTTGCTTTGCTTGACTGGTCCTGTGACCCCTTGTTCTCCCCCACTTTGCCTATGGGGGTGTGTCAGATTTATATGACATAGCTACTGTAGGCTATAGTGGGGTGGCACATATGGGGTACAGTTTTCTAGGGTTTGCTTTTTGTACCCAACTTTCACTTAGTCATTCATTTTCCTCGTTTCTTCTGAGTACTCTCTCAGCTCACCCGTACTCTCTCAGCTCACCCGTATTCCCTACTTCTCTCAGGTGCTACTCATCTTCCTTCAGCGTGTTTTCGACTTTACGTGTGTCGTTTTTCTCTTATGTTATTTTTCAATGCTTCTGTCTAATGCATGTCTATGTCTACCATGTATCGCCAATTTGCACACGATTGTCGCTTCATTGTCACCCCGTTCCCACACGTTAACCACGTTTTGATTTTGCTTCTGCGTAGGTGGATCGCGAACCTGATGGAAGGCCTTGCTTGCACACTCAGCTACTATGCCTTTGGTGCGCCTTCTCTTGTCTCTGGTACGGTAGCGACTTGTTCGCCCTAGCCACTTATAGTCCGTTCAAAAATTCCATCGACTTTCTGTTTGTTTGTTTTCTTTCGATGTTGTTTGCAGGTCGCTTATGTGCAAAACAACCGCGGAATGGTCGAATTATTAAGCGTGGGGTCGTTTTCCCCCATGTAGTCATTGGCCGTGAAAACTCTGGCGGAATGGTCGAACCTGTAAGTAACTAAAATTTCAATGCAAACACCTTTATTATCGTATGGTACTCTATTGTGCAGGAAATCCGACAGATTCAACCCTGGTGACTGTCATAGATTTTATCATAGTGACACGGTGATTGTTAATAGTTTTATTGCTTCTAGAGTTAGTGTGAATCTGTAGTTTGTGACTGCCTGTTTCTTGCCTGATTTGTCTGTTACTAATAAATAGCACTAATAACGACAATACAGCATTGGAGGTTACATGGTCAATGGAATATGAACAATTATAATGTTCAAAAGTAGAACTGTATGTATAGCATATTAGAACCGTGAAAATGTATCAACAATGCTGTTGAAAATCTGGAACCTGTTACCATGTTATTACTCGCTGCATTTGTGCTCACAATGTTATACACATATGTTATTTCACACAATGGACATGGTAACCTGACCAGGTTACCATGTTATTGCTGGCAGGATGATTGTACAGGCAATTTTTTAAATCACTGTACCGAGTCGTAACCGATTTCGTAACTGAGAAACAAAATCGTGAGCCAATCCGACTGGCCTGCGATTTTTTGTACGATCAGTCAACCGCGAACTGGCTCAAGACACGCGTCATAGATAGTTTTCCTCATGTTCATAGCTACATTAGAGTAGCTTCGAGGTTTATGCGATGTGCGGTCCAGATTCAAATTTAATGTTCTGTACAAGCGAAACCACGCTAAAGTAGCTTCATTTATTTCGAGATGTGCGGCTCAGATTCGTCGTGATTTTTTCCTTGTTGCATCGTGAGTCCAACAGCAGCTTCAATGTAACCTTGCCAGCAACCCCAAGGTAGGCCGCTCAAAACGAACCACAGAGCTACCGCAAAGTTGCTTTCCCGCAGCTTTCAAAAGCCCATTTTTTTGGGATGTCATGTATGTCAAGTATGTCAAAACGCGATAGAATACGGTTAGCTACGGTGGAAACACCTCTCTCAGAATACAGTTAGCTACGGTAGAATACTCAGAATCGTTTTCAACCCCTCTCGAAAACACCGAACCGCATTAGACGTGTCTGGTTCATTTAAACGTGACCCGCCCTAACCTCTCTCCCAAACTTGCCAAGGCTCGCCTTGGGGGCGAATCTCGGCGCTTTTCCTTCCGAACATGCTGGTTTGGGACTTCCCCTCGGTACAGTGCCACCCTCTTGCCTGTCCTGTCCCATTCCATCCCGTGACCCGTCCTGGGTGATCAGTTTTTGCTCCAACAAACCCCGAAACCCCGGCACCAGAAAACCCGTTTTTTTGCTCGTTTTCCTGCCTTCGTCCCTATTGATTCTGCTTGCATTATCTGTTAGCCGGCTATTTCGGGGATCCACTAAGCGTAGGAAGCAGGTCTCTAATGGCGCGGGTTAAAGCGACTGCTGAGAAGGTGGGCAAGAAGAGAAAGGAGGCGACGGCCGATGGGGTGGAGAAGACCAAGAAGTCTAAAAAAGATGTGAATAAGGAGAGTTTATCTCTCTTGGCTGTCCCGCGCCAAGTGCAGCTGAAGGTGAAGAAGGGCAAGGTTGCGGAGGAGGCGAAGATTGCTGCGAAGGAGGTCAAGGCGAAGAAGGAGAAGAAGGGAAAGAAGCGGACGGAGACCGCGGAGATTGTAGAGAAGAAAGAAAAGAAGGAGACGAAAGAAGTTAAGAAGGGGAAAAAGGGTGAGGAGACGACGGAAGTAACAAAAAGGACAGAAAAAAGAGAGACGACGGAAGAGATGAAGGGTAACAAGAGGGAGAAGCGGGAGTTGAAGGAGGCAAAGCAAGTGGTAGTGAAAAAGAAGATTAAAGCCGCGAAAGCGGAGAAGAAGGGAGCGACGGAGGGGGAGAAGGGGAAGAAGAAGGAGAAGGGGAAAGAGGGAGAGAAGACCGGCAAGAAGGGGAAGAAGGGCAAAGAGGAGGTGAAGGAGGAAATTAGTGATGAGGAGATGGAGGAGGCGAGTGAGGAAAAGAGTGAGGAGGAGAGTGAGGAAGAGAGTGCGGAAGAGAGTGAGGAGGAGAGTGAGGAGGAGAGTGAGGAGGAGGAGGAGGAGGAGGAGGAGGAGGAGGAGGAGGAGGAGGAGGAGGAGGAGGAGGAGGAGGAGGAGGAGGAGGAGGAGGAGGAAGAGGAGGAAGAGAGTGAAGAGAAGGAAGTGGAGGAAGAAGAAGATAAGAAAGCTGTAAAGGAGGTCGCAGCGAAGGAGGAGCGCAATGAGGAGGAGGAGGAGAGTAGTGATGAGGAGGAGGAAGAGAGTAGTGATGAGGAGGAGGAGAGTGAGGAGGAGGAAGAGGAAAAGAAGAAATTAGTGAAAAAGGAGGAGACCAGTGAGGAGGAGGAGAGTAGTGATGAGGAGAAGGAGAGTGAGGAGGAGGAAGAGAGTGAGGAGGAGGAAGAGGAAGAGAAGAAAGTTGTTAGGGAGGTAGCAGCGAAGGAGAGCAGTGAGGAGGAGGAGAGTAGTGACGAGGAGGAAGAGGAGGAGGAGGAGAGTGAGGAGGAGGAAGAGGAAGAGAAGAAATTAGTGAAAAAGGAGGAGAGCAGTGAGGAGGAGGAGAGTAGTGATAAGGAGGAGGTGGAGGAAGAGGAGGAGAGTGAGGAGGAGGAGGAGAGTGAGGAGGAGGAAGAGAGTGAGGAGGAGGAAGAAGAGAAGAAAGTAGTGAAAAAAGAGGAGAGCAGTGAGGAGGAGAGCAGTGATGAGGAGGAAGAGGAGGAGGAGGAGGAGGAGAGCGAGGAGGAGGAAGAGAAAGAGACGAAAGTTGTTAAGGAGGTAGCAGCGAAGGAGAGCAGTGAGGAGGAGGAGAGTAGTGATGAGGAGGAAGAGGAGGAGGAAGAGGAAGAGAAGAAATTAGTGAAAAAGGAGGAGAGCAGTGAGGAGGAGGAGAGTAGTGATAAGGAGGAGGTGGAGGAAGAGGAGGAGAGTGAGGAGGAGAGTGAGGAGGAGGAAGAGAGTGAGGAGGAGGAAGAAGAGAAGAAAGTAGTGAAAAAAGAGGAGAGCAGTGAGGAGGAGAGCAGTGATGAGGAGGAAGAGGAGGAGGAGGAGGAGGAGGAGAGCGAGGAGGAGGAAGAGAAAGAGACGAAAGTTGTTAAGGAGGTAGCAGCGAAGGAGAGCAGTGAGGAGGAGGAGAGTAGTGATGAGGAGGAAGAGGAGGAGGAGGAGAGTGAGGAGGAGGAAGAGGAAGAGAAGAAATTAGTGAAAAAGGAGGAGAGCAGTGAGGAGGAGGAGAGTAGTGATAAGGAGGAGGTGGAGGAAGAGGAGGAGAGTGAGGAGGAGGAGGAGAGTGAGGAGGAGGAAGAGAGTGAGGAGGAGGAAGAAGAGAAGAAAGTAGTGAAAAAAGAGGAGAGCAGTGATGAGGAGGAAGAGGAGGAGGAGGAGGAGGAGAGCGAGGAGGAGGAAGAGGAAGAGACGAAAGTAGCGAAAAAGGAAGAGGAGAGTAGTGATGAGGAGCAGGAGAGCAAGGAGGAAAAGAAAGTCGTGAAAGAAGAGGAAAGCAGTGAGGAAGAGAGTAGTGGAGATGACGAGAGCGAGGAGGAGGAAGAAAACGCGAAGAAGTTAAATGTGAAGGAGACCGAGAAGAAGGGGGGACAGCAGCAGCAGAAGGAGCAGCAGAAGGAGCAGCAGAAACAGCAGGAGGAGCAGCAGCAGCAGATTGTATGGCAGGCGACGCCTGGCAAGGTACTGGGTGGACGGCAGTGCTTGGAATATCTCGTGTAGTTGGCTTTTATCAGGGTCACATGTGCAGTGGTAGATGTAGCAAGCGTGCGTTCTGAGAGAGAGCTTTCCTGCTTGATGACGTCTCATACTTAAGCATGGAACATTGATGGTGCACATATGACCCTGAGATGAGAGCTCTCCTGCTGCCTGTTATGAGTCGTGTTTTGAGTCGACTCAAAACACGACTTATTCAAGCATGGAACATTGATGGTGCACATGTGACCCTCAGAGCTCTCCTGCTGCCTGTTGTCCTCTTGCTGTTCAAGACCTGCTTGATGACGTCTCATACTCTAGCATGGTCCACAAGTTTTGAGATGTCTCATAGCATGGTACATTGTCTCATAGCATGGTACATTGTCTCATAGCATGGTACATTGTCTCATAGCATGGTACATTGTCTCATAGCATGGTACATTGTCTCATAGCATGGTACATTGTCTCATAGCATGGTCCATTGTCTCATAGCATGGTCCATTGTCTCATAGCATGGTCCATTGTCTCATAGCATGGTCCATTGTCTCATAGCATGGTCCATTGTCTCATAGCATGGTACATTGTCTCATAGCATGGTCCATTGTCTCATAGCATGGTCCATTGTCTCATAGCATGGTCCATTGTCTCATAGCATGGTCCATTGTCTCATAGCATGGTCCATTGTCTCATAGCATGGTACATTGTCTCATAGCATGGTCCATTGTCTCATAGCATGGTCCATTGTCTCATAGCATGGTCCATTGTCTCATAGCATGGTCCATTGTCTCATAGCATGGTCCATTGTCTCATAGCATGGTCCATTGTCTCATAGCATGGTCCATTGTCTCATAGCATGGTCCATTGTCTCATAGCATGGTACATTGTCTCATAGCATGGTCCATTGTCTCATAGCATGGTCCATTGTCTCATAGCATGGTCCATTGTCTCATAGCATGGTCCATTGTCTCATAGCATGGTACATTGTCTCATAGCATGGTCCATTGTCTCATAGCATGGTACATTGTCTCATAGCATGGTCCATTGTCTCATAGCATGGTCCATTGTCTCATAGCATGGTCCATTGTCTCATAGCATGGTCCATTGTCTCATAGCATGGTCCATTGTCTCATAGCATGGTCCATTGTCTCATAGCATGGTCCATTGTCTCATAGCATGGTCCATTGTCTCATAGCATGGTCCATTGTCTCATAGCATGGTCCATTGTCTCATAGCATGGTCCATTGTCTCATAGCATGGTCCATTGTCTCATAGCATGGTACATTGTCTCATAGCATGGTCCATTGTCTCATAGCATGGTACATTGTCTCATAGCATGGTCCATTGTCTCATAGCATGGTCCATTGTCTCATAGCATGGTACATTGACGTCAAACTCACCTCGCGGGGAGCAAGAGGGCCTTTGACACCAGCTCTTCACCATTCCACTCTTCCCGTCGACACCCGATACCTACCCATGCAATCCCATCCTATACTCCTCGCTCTCTACCCCCCACCCAGCTCGCAGGCAGCAAGAGGAGCTTTGATGCTGTATCCCGGGATCAGGCAGCAAGCAGGGCAGCGCTGCAAGAACCGCACTCCATGCCCAGATTGTGTGCCCCACCCCATTCCCCACCCATGCTCCATTCCCATGCCGCTTCCACTCCCCCCTCTACACCCCCTACCCAGCTCACAGGCAGCAAGAGGGCCTTTGACGCCATCTCACCGGGATCAGGCAGCAAGCCGGGCAGCGCTGCAAGAGCGTTCCAGAGAGTGAAGGTGGAGGAGGTGAGTGAGAGGCTTCCTTGTCCTTTCAAGTGAATCCGAATAGAGCACCACCACTCCTCACTGGCACTCTTCATGCTGTTCGGGCTAAGTCCAGTCCAGAGGCACTCCTTAGCACCACTCCTCACTGGCACTCCACCACCCTGTCTTGTATCAAGCACTCATCACTCCTTTTGCTCCTCTTCCCGAACCAGCGCGCCTGTGCCCAACACCCCTACAACCTGCTCCCCCCCTCAGGTGCAATTCAAAGATCCCCGGCTCATGGATAACTCGTACTGGGCCAAGGTGAGTGGGGCTGGGCAACATGGGGGTTACCACCCTACATGGGGGGATGTGGCATGGGTGTTGGGGGGGCATGGACGGATGGGACATGGGTGTTGGCTCAGGTGCAATTCAAGGGCCCTCGGCTAACTCGGACTGGGCTACGGTGAGAGGCTGGGTGGGACTCAGCACGCCTGGATGTTCCATGACATTACGGCGTGCTGAGGAGAGCTAATTACATGCTGTCTGTCTGTCCTTCTCCAGCGAGCAGCAAAGCAAATTAGACGAGACTGCTGAGATGAGCTAATTGCATTCTTTAGGTGCTTTCTTGCATGTGCCTATTCGCTCCCATGACACGTGTCCTTCCCATTTGCGACGTGTCCTCCCCGTACCCCGCTTTGCTCCTCCGCCTTTGCTGCCTCCCATCCTTCATGCCCATGCCATGTGTCCCTCCCATGCCACGTGTGCTTGTGCCAATCAGAGCGGGGCGGGCAGTGGATGGGGCGCCAAGGCGCAGGAGGTGCTGGGGCAAGTCAGGGGCAGGTGAGAACAGCAGAGACATGGCAGGTGAAAAACAACAGTATTCTACTCATTGTTGTCTTGTATCACAGGGCTATTGTCGTGTAATGCCGTGCTTTCAATTGTCTTGTTTCGCCAAAATACGAAATGCATGTATCTGTGTCATAATGCACACTGCTTCTTGTTCTTGATGTTCCCATATTCGCGGCACCTGTAACATGTGGTTACCGCAGGGGTTTCCGCCATGAGAAGACAAAGAAGAAGAGGGGCAGCTACAGGGGTGGTATTATTGACCAGGAAAGCCATTCCATCAAGTTTGCTGATTCCGACGACGAGTAATTGCTGCATGCGATGCTGTGGAACATACGGTATTTGGACCAAAAATATGGTTATTGCATCAGGGATGGGTAGAGCACAGGGTGTAATAAATGTGTTCCCTTAAGTTAACTTCTTCGAACATTGAATGATGTTGATGTGTTAGATTGTCTAACAATATCATTTGCGTGGTTGAGAGGCCAACCCATGGTCATTATTTGCCTTGCTAATAATGCGCTCAGTGTTTGAAGGGAGGTTGGGGAGAATCTTGCACATGGTTGGGATTGACATTGGATAGGTGCTTTGGATGTTTGGTGCTGAGTGGCTAGGTCACGAACCAACGTGGTATTATCTCGTGCTTCTTCTGTTGCCAGTACCACTCTACAATTATTCAAGTCATTTGAAGCACTACGGTATTTTCACCGACCCTATGGTGCGACTCCGCTTAAGTAACCACACACCTTTGTGTACACTGGAGCCAACAGGATGATTGTTTTGAATTCACTCCGAACCGAACACACAATCAACAAGAGGTACAGTTTGTTCCACACACTGTGTCACCACTCACACCATACCACCCTTTCACAGCTATACAGCATGCGCTATCCTGTGTTGGGGTTGCATGTGAGTCTAGTTGCCAGTGATCCATGAGTGGCCTGCAGAGGTGAAACAGCGCAAACGAGAGCAAGGGAGTGGGGCATGGGAGGGATTGGGCAACGGAGATTGCTTGGTCAATGCAACGGCAATGGCTATCTGTGTCAATTTGGTATGCGAATCAGTTGCTGGTGACTCGTGGGTGGCCTGCAGAGACGTGACACAGCACTAAGGAGAGCAAGGGAGGTGGGAAGGAATCGGATGGGGCAAGGTAGAGAGGGGGCAGAAGGTCACAGGCAGAGGGAGGTTGCTAAGACTGCCAGTGCCACTGTACCAAGAGAAAGCTACCAGGTACGGTACGGGATATCAGGGGGTGGGGAGGGCACGTAACCCTGCAGCAATCTCCCGCTTTTGAGAAATCTAAGAAACAATTGGGTGACTCACAGAGGTTAATTTCCTCCCGGGGGTCCTTTTGAGAGAATTCAAAACAACCCTGCATCGTCAGCAGCCGTCGCACGAGGTCCTTCACACCCTCAGGAGAGACACTGTTGAGAGTTCTCAACGTGTGACTCACAAACATACACGCACACGGGGCCTCATGCTTCATCATACACTCACAAAGAACCTCCTCAAGGGTGATTCTCTCCCGGCCTTGTCAGCAGCCGCCGCACCAGGTCCTTAGCCCCAGGGGACAACTTTTGAGGCGCACCAGGTCCTTAGCCCCAGGGGACAACTTTTGAGGCGCACCAGGTCCTTAGCCCCAGGGGACAACTTTTGAGGCGCACCAGGTTCTTAGCCCCAGGGGACAACTTTTGAGGCGCACCAGGTCCTTAGCCCCAGGGGACAAATTTTGAGGCGCACCAGGTCCTTAGCCCCAGGGGACAACTTTTGAGGCGCACCAGGTCCTTAGCCCCAGGGGACAACTTTTGAGGCGCACCAGGTCCTTAGCCCCAGGGGACAACTTTTGAGGCGCACCAGGTCCTTAGCCCCAGGGGACAACTTTTGAGGCGCACCAGGTCCTTAGCCCCAGGGGACACTGCTAACAGCCCTCAAAAGCGACTCACATACAGAACCCCATGTTTCAACATTCACTCACATAAAACCTCCTCAAGGGTGATTCTATCACGGGGGTCCCTCGTTAACAGCCACCGCACCAGGTCCTTCGCCCCGGGAGACACTCTTGGCCACGGCGGTAACCGCATGGCCCTGTCCACGTGGCACTCCATGATTCGCTCGAACGTCTCCCCCTTGGTGGCGCCTCGGAAGGGTTCGACCCCCGCGACGAGGAAGAAGAGCACACAGGTGAGGGACCAGACGTCGACCGTGTGGGAGTAGGAGTGCTGCAGCATCTCCGGTGCTCTGAAGGCTGCCGCACCCACTGTCTCCCTGCAGGAAGTGCCTGCAGGCGTGGGGGGGAGAGAAGCAGGGAGAAGAAGAGAGGTTTGATTGGGCTGGAAGGAAAAAGAGCACGCAGCCAGCTACCAGGCGCCCACTGCTTGGGTGTATGCCTGCTGCAGCATCTCCGGGGCTATGAAAGCTGTTGAGCCCACCGTCTCCCTGCAAGGAACGCCTGCAGGGTTGGGAGGGGGGAGGGGTGGAGAGCGGGGGAGGGAGACAAGCAGGGGAGCGGCGAGAGCATAAGTTTATTCTCCAAGCATTAGGGTTCAGGGTTAAAAGGTTCGGATGATCTGTTGGAGTATTGTTCTCGCAAGCAGCGCACGTTGGTGGAAGAAGAGCGATTCGCGATACTTTTGGCAATTCTTTTGAGTCGACTCAAAAGTCACCAAGTAGGTGAGTTTGACTTGACGTGATACTTTTGGCAATTCTCGTCGCCACTATCGCCGCCGTGCCTGACACCAATATAGTTTGACATGACTATCGCCGCCGTGCCTGACAAGGGGCCCGCCTAGAGTGCAGGGTTCAGGTTTCCTTTCCAGCACTCTTGGTTCAGGGTGGTGTTCTCGCAAGCAGATCTCACCTTCCTGGAAGAAGAGCGAGATGCCAAAGTCAGCAATCGTGACATAAGAATCATCCCCCCGCCTGACTAGGAGGATGCTGTTCGGCTCCACATCCCCGTGCATCACCCCACTCCCGTGGCACCACTGCAGCGCCGCCGCCACTCCCTGACAAACCGCCGCCTCCCGCCGCTCGGTCAGCGGTCCCTCGTTCCGAACAGCCTGCTGCAGTGTGCCGCCCTCACAGAGATTGAGGATGAGGTAGATGGCCTGGGGTGGACAAGAGGTGAAGCGGAGATATGAAAGGGCGTTTCACAGCGCCCCATTACCCTTGCTTCTAGGCGACTTGCTGCAGAGTGCTGCCCTCACAGAGGTCGAGGATGAGGTAGATGGCCTGGGGGGACAGGGAGGACGGACAGAAATGTGTGAGCTCCTGACCCTTGTGCCCGCCTGTTCGTCCTCTACTCTCATCCTAAGCACCCACTTCGTTCATCACGCCCTCTACTGTCTTCCAGCACCCACCTCCGCCTCCCTTACTGTCCCCCTCCTCTACCCTCACCCAAAGCACTCACCTCCTCATCCTCTATTGTCTCCACCAGCTGCACGATGTGAGGATGGCTTTGAACCGTGTCCAGCGCTGCCACCTCGATCATCACGCCCTCTACGCCACCCAGTAGCACCCACCTCCTTGTCCCCCTACTGCCATCTAGCACCCACCCACCTGCTCGTCCTCTATCGTTTCCACGAGTTGCACGATGTGCGGGTGCCCTCGCACCGTGGCCAATGCCGCCACCGACTCACAATCACAACTCATCTGCCATCACGCCCTCTACCCACCTGCTGGTCCTCTATCGTCTCTACGAGTTGCACGATGTGCGGGTGCCCTCACACCGTCTCCAATGCCGCCACCTCATTCATCACATCCTCTACTGTCTCCCACCACAGCACCCATCTCCCCCTCCTCTACCCTCACCCAAAGCACCCACCTGCTCGTCCTCTACTGTCTCTCAGCACAGAGCCCAAGTCCACCTCCTCTATGCTCTCACCCAAAGCACTCACCTGTTCATCCTCTATTGTCTCCACAAGCTGCACGATGTGGGGATGCCCTCGCACCGTTTCCAATGCTGCCACCTCGTTCATCACGTCCTCCGCATCATCCTCGCTCTGCTGATGTGCCACGGCGCCATCCATCCATCCAAACACATGCCATGCCATGCCATGCCGATGCCATGACACATACCGTGCCATGCCATGCCATGCTATGCCATGCCGATATGACACATGCCGTGCACCGTGCCATCACATCACACATGCCACTCCCCATGCCATGCACCATGCCACGCCATGCACCATGCCATGTCATGCCATGTGAACAATACATGCACACACCCACGACTCCAGGACATTCACACATGAGGAATTTCTAGGAACAAGGGCGCAACTTAAGACTGAGATGAAGAAGCGCGAAGGATTAACAAAAGAATGAACAAAACACGCAAAAACAACTAATAACTTGAAACGTCACAGCCTTATGAGAATTTTCTAGGACCAAGGGCGCAACCTAGACTGAGATGAAGAAGCGCGAAGGAACAGGCAAAAAAGAAAAAGAAAAAGATAGTGATAACTTACAAGATGACAGCCTTCTCACCATAATGCTGGCTTTCTTGATCACTTTACACGCCATGTACTCCCCTGTTCACTCTCCCATGCACTCTCCCATGCACTCTCCCATGCACTCTCCCATGCACTCTCCAATGCACTCTCCCGTGCACTCTCCCATGCACTCTCCCATGCACTCTCCCATGCACTACCATGCACTCTCCCATGCACTCTCCCATGCACTCGCATGCACTCTCCCATGCACTCTCCCATGCACTCCCATGCACTCCCATGCACTCTCCCATGCACTCTCCCATGCACTCTCCCATGCACTCCCATGCACTCCCATGCACTCTCCCATGCACTTTCCCATGCACTCCCATGCACTCTCCCATGCACTCTCCCATGCACTCTCCCGTGCACTCTCCCATGCACTCCCATGCACTCTCCTATGCACTCTCCCATGCACTCTCCCATGCACTCTCCCATGCACTCTCCCATGCACTCCCATGCACTCTCCCATGCAGTCTCCCAAGCACTCTCCCATGCACTCTCCCATGCAGTCCCATGCACTCTCCCATGCACTCTCCCATGCACTCTCCCATGCACTCCCATGCACTCTCCCATGCACTCCCATGCACTATCCCATGCACTCTCCCATGCACTCTCCCATGCACTCCCATGCACTCTCCCATGCACTCCCATGCACTCTTCCATGCACTCTCCCATGCAGTCCCATGCACTCTCCCATGCACTCTCCCATGCACTCTCCCATGCACTCTCCCATGCACTCTCCCATGCACTCTCCCATGCACTCCCATGCACTCTCCCATGCACTCCCATGCACTATCCCATGCACTCTCCCATGCACTCCCATGCATTCTCCCATGCACTCTCCCATGCACTCTCCCATGCACTCCCATGCACTCTCCTATGCACTCTCCCATGCACTCTCCCATGCACTCTCCCATGCACTCTCCCATGCACTCCCATGCACTCTCCCATGCACTCTCCCATGCACTCCCATGCACTCTCCCATGCACTCTCCCATGCACTCTCCCATGCACTCTCCCATGCACTCTCCCATGCACTCCCATGCACTCCCATGCACTCTCCCATGCACTTTCCCATGCACTCCCATGCACTCTCCCATGCACTCTCCCATGCACTCTCCCATGCACTCTCCCATGCACTCTCCCATGCACTCCCATGCACTCTCCCATGCAGTCTCCCAAGCACTCTCCCATGCACTCTCCCATGCAGTCCCATGCACTCTCCCATGCACTCTCCCATGCACTCTCCCATGCACTCCCATGCACTCTCCCATGCACTCTCCCATGCACTCCCATGCACTCTCCCATGCACTCTCCCATGCACTCTCCCATGCACTCCCATGCACTATCCCATGCACTCTCCCATGCACTCTCCCATGCACTCCCATGCACTCTCCCATGCACTCCCATGCACTCTTCCATGCACTCTCCCATGCACTCCCATCCCATGCACTCTCCCATGCACTCTCCCATGCACTGTCTCATGCACTCCCATCCCATGCACTCTCTCATGCACTCTTCCATGCACTCTCCCATGCAGTCCCATGCACTCTCCCATGCACTCTCCCATGCACTCTCCCATGCACTCTCCCATGCACTCCCATGCACTCTCCCATGCACTCCCATGCACTATCCCATGCACTCTCCCATGCACTCCCATGCACTCTCCCATGCACTCTCCCATGCACTCTCCCATGCACTCCCATGCAGTCTCCTATGCACTCTCCCATGCACTCTCCCATGCACTCTCCCATGCACTCTCCCATGCACTCCCATGCACTCTCCCATGCTCTCTCCCATGCACTCCCATGCACTCTGCCATGCACTCTCCCATGCACTCTCCCATGCACTCTCCCATGCACTATCCCATGCACTCTCCCATGCACTCCCATGCACTCTCCCATGCACTCTCCCATGCACTCTCCCATGCACTCCCATGCAGTCTCCTATGCACTCTCCCATGCACTCTCCCATGCACTCTCCCATGCACTCTCCCATGCACTCCCATGCACTCTCCCATGCACTCTCCCATGCACTCCCATGCACTCTGCCATGCACTCTCCCATGCACTCTCCCATGCACTCTCCCATGCACTCTCCCATGCACTCTCCCATGCACTCCCATGCACTCTCCCATGCACTCTCCCATGCACTCTCCCATGCACTCCCATGCACTCTCCCATGCACTCCCATGCACTCTCCCATGCACTCTCCCATGCACTCTCCCATGCACTCTCCCATGCACTCTCCCATGCAGTCTCCCATGCACTCACATGCACTCTCCCATGCACTCTCCCATGCACTCTCCCATGCATTCCCATGCACTCTCCTATGCACTCTCCCATGCACTCTCCCATGCACTCTCCCATGCACTCTCCCATGCACTCCCATGCACTCCCATGCACTCTCCCATGCACTCTCCCATGCACTCTCCCATGCACTCCCATGCACTCCCATGCACTCTCCCATGCACTTTCCCATGCACTCCCATGCACTCTCCCATGCACTCTCCCATGCACTCTCCCATGCACTCTCCCATGCACTCTCCCATGCACTCCCATGCACTCTCCCATGCAGTCTCCCAAGCACTCTCCCATGCACTCTCCCATGCAGTCCCATGCACTCTCCCATGCACTCTCCCATGCACTCTCCCATGCACTCCCATGCACTCCCATGCACTATCCCATGCACTCTCCCATGCACTCTCCCATGCACTCCCATGCACTATCCCATGCACTCTCCCATGCACTCCCATGCACTCTCCCATGCACTCTCCCATGCACTCTCCCATGCACTCCCATGCACTCTCCTATGCACTCTCCCATGCACTCTCCCATGCACTCTCCCATGCACTCTCCCATGCACTCCCATGCACTCTCCCATGCACTCTCCCATGCACTACCATGCACTCTGCCATGCACTCTCCCATGCACTCTCCCTTGCACTCTCCCATGCACTCTCCCATGCACTCTCCCATGCACTCCCATGCACTCTCCCATGCACTCTCCCATGCACTCTCCCATGCACTCCCATGCACTCTCCCATGCACTCCCATGCACTCTCCCATGCACTCTCCCATGCACTCTCCCATGCACTCTCCCATGCACTCCCATGCACTCTCCCATGCACTCCCATGCACTCTTCCATGCACTCTCCCATGCACTCCCATCCCATGCACTCTCCCATGCACTCTCCCATGCACTGTCCCATGCACTCCCATCCCATGCACTCTCCCATGCACTCTCCCATGCACTCTCCCATGCACTCTCCCATGCAGTCTCCCATGCACTCACATGCACTCTCCCATGCACTCTCCCATGCACTCTCCCATGCATTCCCATGCACTCTCCTATGCACTCTCCCATGCACTCTCCCATGCACTCTCCCATGCACTCTCCCATGCACTCCCATGCACACCCATGCACTCTCCCATGCACTCTCCCATGCACTCTCCCATGCACTCTCCCATGCACTCTCCCATGCACTCCCATGCACTCTCCCATGCAGTCTCCCAAGCACTCTCCCATGCACTCTCCCATGCATTCCCATGCACTCTCCTATGCACTCTCCCATGCACTCTCCCATGCACTCTCCCATGCACTCTCCCATGCACTCCCATGCACTCCCATGCACTCTCCCATGCACTCTCCCATGCACTCTCCCATGCACTCTCCCATGCACTCTCCCATGCACTCCCATGCACTCTCCCATGCAGTCTCCCAAGCACTCTCCCATGCACTCTCCCATGCAGTCCCATGCACTCTCCCATGCACTCTCCCATGCACTCTCCCATGCACTCCCATGCACTCCCATGCACTATCCCATGCACTCTCCCATGCACTCTCCCATGCACTCCCATGCACTCTCCCATGCACTCCCATGCACTCTTCCATGCACTCTCCCATGCACTCCCATCCCATGCACTCTCCCATGCACTCTCCCATGCACTGTCTCATGCGCTCCCATCCCATGCACTCTCTCATGCACTCTTCCATGCACTCTCCCATGCAGTCCATGCACTCTCCATGCACTCTCCCATGCACTCTCCCATGCACTCTCCCATGCACTCTCCCATGCACTCTCCCATGCACTCTCCCATGCACTCCCATGCACTCTCCCATGCACTCTCCCATGCACTCTCCCATGCACTCCCATGCACTCTCCCATGCAGTCTCCCAAGCACTCTCCCATGCACTCTCCCATGCATTCCCATGCACTCTCCTATGCACTCTCCCATGCACTCTCCCATGCACTCTCCCATGCACTCTCCCATGCACTCCCATGCACTCCCATGCACTCTCCCATGCACTCTCCCATGCACTCTCCCATGCACTCTCCCATGCACTCTCCCATGCACTCCCATGCACTCTCCCATGCAGTCTCCCAAGCACTCTCCCATGCACTCTCCCATGCAGTCCCATGCACTCTCCCATGCACTCTCCCATGCACTCTCCCATGCACTCCCATGCACTCCCATGCACTATCCCATGCACTCTCCCATGCACTCTCCCAT